GGGTCTAATGTCTGGTTTACGATCTAGAACGCATTCCAAAAATAAATTTGCTGCAAGTGCATGCAAATATTAGGCCAACACAAGTCTACTTGTAGCCTAACTAACAACTCTCAAATAATTTGTTTAAAAGTGTTATTGAAAAGTTGTTTCTTTTTAAAATGCATACCATGATTTGGAGCCAAGAACACTAATATTCTCACTTTTTCTGTACTTTAAATCTCTGCTGAACCTTGGTTTGGCCCCTGTCCCAACTGCCTCCACGAGCACTCATTCCCCAGCTAGCACAGTGTTCATTGTTATTTCACCAACGAGCCGCCTGAGCATGTGAAATGTGGATGTACAGCTAGCAGACCTTGTTAAAATGATGTTTGAAGTCTGTGGAGTCTTGTCTTGCATGCTGTTGCTGCAAACCTTTCAGCTGCAAATCAATTTCTACATCTTGGTATTATTGTATCCCCTAGTCCAGCAGAAGCTAAAGAAATGAAAGTAAGACATTCCCAGTGTCTGTTGGAATCTTTTCCTAAATATGTTAATATTAAATAGACTTTACTTGAGGTCCATGACCAGTTAGTGCTGAGTAAACATTTAGAAAGCAGCATTCTGTGACTGAACATAGTGTCTCCACTGATAAACCAATGCATAACCTTGAGAACTTCTTTTATGACAGTTGACTGCACTCTTGCATTTTTCTCATAAAAGTTATTCATTGTATCCAATCGATTACATTTTATACACATTATATGGATGTACAACAATACTGGATTTTGCAATTGATGTGTCATTAACCAATTCTATTTGTAAATAATCAAGATATTTTATTGTGAATATCATATGCCTGACTAATGACCTAGCTGTAACCTGAATAAATGGTCCAAATTATACAAGAGGAAATTTTAAATGGTTCATCACTGTCACCTGAAGCCCAGTTTAAATCGCTACTTTATGTAGATTTTCTACATTAATGTTGATATGCCATTTGTCACTTTCATTTTATTTGCATTGGCAGCAATACCGATAATGAAGCCAATTATTCCTTTATCCGACAATGCTGCTCAAATTACAGCCTACACATACCAGTGTTATAGATTTTCTAACAAACATTCAAAGTCTATTATTGCAAAATTTGGAGGCCGGTGTATATTTAATGCCTGAAAGTTTTTATATGTTAATTAATAAGATTGTGGGGCATTTGCATGACTGAGAATTTAGAGCTCAGCAAAAATTCCTGTTGAAAGAAACATCCTTTTTAAAAGCATTAGTTATTGTGAGCTTAACTAATGTAAAATATTAGATAAACAATGGCAGCAGGTTTGAATCACATTCAACCAATACATTCCTGAAAGATTGCCATTATTTATGTTTTTTTAAAATTCTATCCTTGCCCAGAATTTTGCCTATAGTCCTCTTGGAGATAATGGGTGAGAAATTGAGGTTATTTGTCCCTGTTTAGGGCACCATGAGATCTCCAAATGTTGTTCATTGCACGTGTGCATACTTATGAATAAGAGTCATGTTCAATTCCAAATTGGTGCAAGCATTAAACTTCTGTGCAGTAAATGTGCCAGGAAAATCACAACGGGTAGGTCAAGATGTCAATAAAAGTGCAACATTGATTGGCCCCTTCAGTGCCATTTTGGAGCACAATTCTCCAGCCAACATTGGGTCATATTTTCATCATCAAGCAGACAGGTCAACTCGGGAAATCAGCAGACTTAGCTCCATGGAAAAACAACCAAAATGCAGGTTAAGCCCAGCACCCCTGGAGACAATTTGAAGATTGCCATGGAGGCAGGCGAGAGCCTGTATGGGCTGGTTAGAAGGTCCACTTTGGTTCACTGAGGTTTCATGTCATTTAGTCCAACTAACCCTCACCACTCACACCAATGCCTTAACGTACCCCGTCCCACCTCAAACCCACATGTCACCTCCATGTCTCCATGACACTTGTACAATCCCCTTGTACCTGTCATCCCACTGCCACAAATACTCGTCTAATGTCCACTATATGCAGACCTCAGAAGTCATGTGGAGATGAAAAAAGTGAACTTTTAACAATTTAAGAAAGTTTTCACTCATGCACACTTGATACTGAAAAAGCTCATCATGAAACGTATTCAAAGATTTTAAATCACCTCAAAGAGTCAATCTGTTATCAAAATAAACTTCTATTCATCTGCCACGCCAAAAACAGCTAATCTTTAATAGTTTTTTGAATCGTTAATCAAAATCTGAACTCAGACTGCATTCAGATAAATTAATGTCAAGATTTTGAAATTCACCTAAGCATTCATTTGGGTTGAGCTGAAATAGTAGCCCATGTAAAATATTAGCTATTAAATTTATTGAAATTACAGGAAGTTGTTCCACATTCCACTAAGTGTCTGTCAATCAATATATTTCAGCAATGGGCTATCCTTTACTAGAGTCATACAGCACGGAAACAGACCCTTTGGTCCAATCAGTCCATGCTATGCTGACAGCTGTCACTTCCTTGTTATTTTTAAAGAGCTAGGGATTTAAGTAAGTTTAGATAATAACAATTAAGCAGACCTTTCCCATCCTGCAAGATAGATTACTCCTCTCTCCCAAATTTGTGATTTCCACAATGAGAGTTAAGGCTCTTGGAACAGCAGAAACTGTGTCTGTTTGAACTCATCACCAATCTCAAATGCTGAGTTTGAGTGTATTGTCTGTGTGTTTAATGCTGCTCTCCTTCCCATTGCCAGAGCAATTGAGAGCTGCTGACTTAGGGGAGCAACACCTGCAAATGGATCTGTTCACCATTTTAGGACAACCCTGAAAATCTAGCTCATTTCCTCCCTTACCCTCATGTAGCTAAACACACTTTCAACAGCATGGGCATACCCCAATCCCCTCCAACCAGTACTATTTGCAGGAACCATCAACCATTTACAACTTAAGTGTTGGTTGATTGCTTCCAGCTATTGCTACAAATCTACAAATGTATTTTTACCATAGTTTAATGTTTCAAAAATCCACAGAAAGAGCAAAAGGTGCCAAAGTACTTTTTACGGACATGAAAGCATCTGCAAAAATCAGTTGCTCACGGGTGCGCTGGTAAGCATTCCCTATGGAATACAGCATTAGTTGGAGAATGGACAGAGGCCATGCCAATAATGAACAGACTGCTGAAGAGAGAGGAGAAGGAAGGGAGAAGGGGTCTCAGCAAGAAAATATATCCACTCAGGGTTGTTCAAACAGCAATTCTAATGCCTGAACCTCAGTGAGGAACAATGCCTGAGACTTCATTGCTTCAGTAATCACTGAAATCTATCATTTCCTATAGTTATAAATGAAACACAAGACCAGGGCAACAATTGTATTGCCATTGTTTGTGGCGGTGATTGCATGACTAATTTTTATGTCTCGAGTGCTATCCAGGTTGGAGCCAGAGATATTTCCAGGACATTGCTGTTTGCCATGCATATGGGAGTTGCTGATGTTCCCCACTGGAAGACAGCAAGCCACTTTTCTTTTATGAGAAATAAGATGATATACACTTTCCTTTGATTACAGGATTTTTCATATTACAGAACCATCGACTATATAGAGTTCACATAGAAAAGGCTCCATACCAACTCTACTTGATACCCAAACTGAAAGGTTAGGATAGGTTAACAACTAACCTAAACTCTTCTTCAGTGTCTAAATGCTGTGTAACCATATGCTGCGAATCTTGCAAGTTAATGCCTGGTAGTTTGAAAGATATCATGCACCACAATCATCACACTTGTTTTTGGGGCTTGTCCAATTCATCCTCCAACAATTTTAGGTGGTTACAGGGGCATTGATAGCCACAAATACCTTACCCCAAATGGGAAGAAACAAAAAGGTCTGAATTTTCCTATGTTTACCCCCTCCAAATTGGGTGGGATAACAGCAGATACAATGAGAATATTAGGCACAAGATTTACTGCCACTTTTCTGACCAAATCTTAGTTTCCATCCTTTAGTCCCTGCAAGTGCTACCATGGCTGCACTTTGTTCCTTCATGCAAATGACAGCACAGTCTAAGTTCTCAACACATTTACTTCTTTTCTGCATTTTTTAATGCTGCTTCTCTATGCTCTTGCCAATAATTGCCAAGAGATTTTTGCAAAAGTCTTAAAGTTTCCTGATAGGGGTTGCAATTTATCCACACTCTATTTCAGCTTGAACATTTACATTCTGAAAGTCTCCATCAGAGCTAAGATCTCCCATAGGCTATTCGTTGCTGCAATCATCAGGCCCCTCTAAGTGACGTTCTGTCCCCGCCCAAGCAATATTTCTGTGCAAATTTCCGTCAAGGTCAGCTGCAGGCCCCACTTACTGGTAAGAATTCCATCAGGACCCCTGGGCAGGCAGCAGTGTCAGCAGTATTGAGAATAGATGGAAGATATATTCTTATTCTGTTGGAACAACGTGAAGGAATATTTAATCTCAAAGACTATTGGTGAAAATGTTAAGGTTGGACGGTTTATACAATATAAAGATAATACAGAGCTGCCAATTTTCTGGGCGTATCCAAGGACAATATTACTCCATAAACTCTGAGATCATTCATTATGCATTTATATGGATGACCAAAGGTTTCCTTCCATTTTGTGATGAAATGACATTCAATCTCAGGCTTTTCACCATATGTTATAAGCCACAGGTAGATCATATAAAATGTACTCTACAGCCCAGTATCACTTAGTATCAGGAATTTGTTGATAAAAACAATATGAGGGAAATCTAAAGATGATCAGACCCTGCAGTTCACTGCAGTGTGATAGAAATGTTCTGAAATATTTAGCTGTCAAAGTATTTATTCATTCTTTACTATGTTGTTCAACTCGATCATGTTTATGCATTCAATGATATATACATGACTTCAAATGCCAAATGTTTTGATTTTTAAATCTAAACTACAACATGTTTGATTGCTCCAAGGCTATAATATTTTAAATGTACATGTATAAAGTACAAGTGCCTTGAACATATCATCTTCATTCTAGCTGTGCAGAATGAAAGAGACAGGATAAGTACGAGGCGATCCAGCTATGAGGACAGCAGTTTGCCTTCAATTAATGCACTTATACAAGCAGAGGTTCTTTCTCGTCAGGTACAGTAATCCTAGCTTATCTAACTATTATTTTATCAAATAAGGGTCTTTCCTTATGAATTATTGTCGAAAAGAAAACAATGTATATGTTTATAGCACTATTCAAAACCTCAGGATGTTCCAATGTGTTTTACAACATGTGAAGAGCAATATTGCTTAAACAGTATTCAGTATCGCAATGTAGGAAACACAGCAGCCAATTTGTCCACAGCACAATCCAAGAAAGTGCAATGTGATAATGATTGGAAAATCTGTTTTTTGCAATGCTTATTGATAGTTAAATATTGAACACACCAGCCGGGATAAATTCCACGTGTTCTTTTATATCAACCTGAACTTTAGGATGTCTCAGCCAAAAGATGCCACCTGCATCAGTACAGCACTTCCTTTGTCCTGCACAGAAATGTCAATCTAATATTTTGTACTGAAGTTTCTGGAATGGGATTTGTATCCACAACTTTCTGACTCAGCTGAATGTGGTGCCAACTGAGATGCAGTCGAAAAATAGGCTTTGTAGCCAAGACCTCTGTTTACTAGCCAAACTATAAACACATGAGGCCTACCTTCTTCTTTTGCTTACACTGCTTTAATAAAGTGTGCCACAAACATAGGTTTCTAGATGTAAATTCAACTCTTTAACAGAACAATGATGGAGCCATACTGCGTTGTTCATCTGAAAACTTGGGAAAATCAGTTGCAGTTGTTTCTAATTTAATGCAATGGCAAAAGCTTTTGATGAATTCCATTCTCTTCATGCGTTAAAAAAGATAATTTGTTGGTTTCTATTTGATGCTTTGTTTATTTATTTGTTTTTAAAATTAGAACATAAAAACTATAAGAACTCGGAACAAGATAAGACAATTCAGCCTCTTGAGCTTGCTCTGCCATTTAATACAATCATAGCTGATCTCATCTCAGCCTCACCTCCACTTTCCTGCCCATGCCTCATAATCTTTTAACTCATTACTAATTAAAAATCTCCTCCTTAAATTTATTCAGTGTCCCAGTATTCACTATACTCCAGAGTAGTGAATACCCCAGATTCACAAGCCTTTGAGAGAAGTAATTCCTCCTTATCTCTGTTTTAAATCTGTAACCAGTTAGCCTAAAATGATGACCTCTCATTCTACATTGCCCTACCAAGGGAAGCATCCACCCTATGCCTACCGTTTCAATCCCCTTTAGCATGTTATTTACCTCAATTAGATTTTCTCTCATTCTTCTAAACTCGAATGAGTATGGACCTATACTGCTCAAAAGACAAACCTTCCATCTCTAGAACTAATGTTTTGAACCTTCTCTGAATTGCCTCCATTGCAATTACATCCTTACCCAAGTAAGGGAACCACAACTGGTCGCAATACTCCAGATTCAGTCTCAGCAATGTCTTGAACAGTTGTAACAACATTTCCCTACCTTTATACTCCATTCATTTAGCAATGCCAAAACTCAATTTGCCCTTCTTATTACCTGCTGTATATACATAATAGCTTTATGTGATTCATGCATGAGGGCACCAGATCCTTCTGCAGCAAAGCATTTTGCAGTTTCTTGCCATTTAGTTAATATGATGTCTTTTTGTTTTTTTGACCAAAATAGATAACCTCACAGTTTTTCACGTTAAAATCCCTCTGCAAAAGTTTGGCCCGTTCATCTAACTTACCTGTATCCATTTGTAAACTTATATAATTCCTCCATTTTAATATTTACTGTACCTTAATATTCCTTACTTACCACTCGTTTTCTTTCTATGGGATAATGACAAGACAGAATGAAATCAGTGGAACCGAAAATCAGGAGAGATGTACAGCAGCTGGCTGATTCGATGTCAACTGCTGTACACCACATCCAAAACTTACAATTTCTACCTTAGTAATGATTTCTTGTCTATTTTCATTTATCGTTTCTCTTTCTATGATCTGTTTAGTTTTATTATTCCATTTTTTTCTTCAGTATATTTTTCTATTTGTATTCATCGTATCTCATCTGTACTCACAGGTGGAAATTTCTTGCTCTTTTGGACGTTTAGATCTGAAAAAAGGGATTCCGGGCTCTGCTAAACTAAAACCATAATAAATACTTTTCTGAAAACTAAATTGTATAAAATAAAACTGTGTTGAAAATGTTGATAGTAACATATATCAAAGACATAAATATGGCTATCATAAATCCTACAGCTGCATTAACCATCTACCTATTTGTGCTGCAGCTAATATTAAATCAGAAGATCACAAATTTTCCAAGTATTCAACAAGAGAATCTTTACATTTAGTGGAGAAGAGGAATCTGCTTGTTTACAATTATTCCTCCATCAGAATTTACCAATATCCCTACAACTTTCTGAACTATGGTTGTTCAATTGTTCAGCTTTAGTATAGCCAACATACCATTGCTGTTCTGCACCATCCATAGTTTTATTTCGATGAGAAATGATACAGGAATAATTTTTGTCATTGTCCTTAACATAAGTGACTCCAGTTGCTTACCAAATGAGTGACACATCTTTATGATTAATAATCTATGCTTTTAGTATACTGGAAATTGAGAAGGTTGACTGCAAATAACAAAGTAGATCATGCTAGCAAATTAACAAACAGCAGTGGTAAATAGAGATTGACAAATTTAGGCAAAACTATCATGATTATTTTTTCCCAATGAATTAGTGTAGATATAGCCATTCACAATAACTATTTATATAAGATTAACCAGACAAATAATCATTTACTTTTAAATTATTTCCTGAGGTCACTGGCTTGTGATTCATTTGAAGGCTTTTTGCACATGACGTATTTAAGTCAGCCTTAAATAACTGAGTGCTTAACCAGTAAGTTATCTTCTGAGATGAAGTTTTGCCTCAGTACTTTGAGTCTTTTGCAAAACTTCCACCAACGCACTATGTATCTCTTAAGGATAGGTAATTTGTAGCAACTGTAATGTCATGTTTGAAAATGAAAAGTTAAGGAAAGTATCTTTCAATCCCAAAGGTTATAACCTCAGATTATGCCACACAGTTTTATTAATTGGCTTTAAAATATACTTGATAGGAAAAATTAACAAAATAATTTTCATACAATAGACGTGTTCCCAGTGGACTGGATACTAAAACAAAACTTGATCCTTTCTATCACATTATCTGCCTCCCACTATAATAAAAAAATAGAGCTGCATTTACAATAGTATTAATAACAGTTGTAAAATTTGAGGTTTTCTCTTCTGGACAGTGACCTGGATTTTACAGTAGGAATGCAGCAAATCTGATCAGAGTTCTCCATCAACACTGCTCTGAAATTGACAGCAAATTCTGAAGTCCACATATGCACAGTCAAATATGGAAAACCAGATGTTGCAGTCTACATTTATCCACTGACTGACAGGAATTTGCCTTTCTGCATCATCAATTTCACTACGCAAACCGTTGAAATTATTACACCTTGTTGAATGAAGTGTAACTTGGATAATAACAATGTACTAAATCTACAACTGCTGCAAAGCAATCCTACTCAGTCTGAAAAAATAGAAATTTGTATAAAGCCAAATTTCTCCATTATGAAAAGAAATCACATTGTTAGAATAAATATATGTATACCTTTTAAAAGTTTCATTTTCATAACTCAGATTCAGCCTGATTCCCCACTTGCATGAACAAATTATTTATTTTGTTCACTATAAAATTTTAATTAAACTGAAAGATGATTGGTGCATTTTATTTCCTCCTTTACGATCTGTTAGAATACTTTAATGTGATTGGCAATTTACCCTATGTGATGATATCACTATTGCTAATTACTATGAGGTTCACTTGACTTAGCATCACATTCAAACTAACATTGGGAAGCTATTAACTAGCTCAATTGACCTGTAAATATCTATTTTCATATGCCAATTTTGGCATCCACCAACCTCTATTATGGCGATGAGCTGGGAAGTCGTTCAGACTCCACTCCGTCTACTACATATCCTCCATCCAAAGCCTGGCAGGGCACACTTTATCCAGCCCATGTCTCTGAAATCATATGGAGTTGTACCAAAGAGAAACAATGCCTGATTGCAGGAATTTCGTAGACTCCAACTCCCTTATGCAGAGCATAGTAAACATTTGGTTGAACATGGTTTAACAGTGAAAGTGATGACCTCTCAGCAGGGATGGAGGAGTGCTCCTGCACTTAGGTGCCAGTCTGAACTCCATCAAAATTCCAGCTCTAGGATTAACCACTGTAAAAGGGAATATTAATTTAATGAATTTTAACCAGTGGCATTAACTACAGAAGTGGTTTTCCATGCTTCCTCCAAGGGACCAAAAATTCAAAGGCAATCCCTACTTATGCTGAAAAATCTTGTTTGGAAATATAATTCGTCATAAATAGTACATAACTTGAGTTTTGCTAAAGAAAAGACACATTTTGTTGAAACTTTTGGTCTCACATTCATCAACACAATTGTCAAGAGAAATGCCAACGTATAGAGATAGCAACATTTTTATACTCCATGAGAAGACAGTTTTGGTTGGTTGGCAAGTGGATACTGATTTACAGAGATGTTGCTATGGCGAATGCATCAGTTACATAATGACTGACAAGTTTGATTTGAACTTAAACCCCAGGAGGTTGACTTTAATTGGTCAGGAATTACCCTGAGAAATGAGCCAGAGAATGGCTGTTGCCTGTTTTGGTGACATGAAACAGATGCAATGTGTGTATATGTTCCTTCCAACTGGAATTTTTCAGCAATGAGAAAGTTTATTAATCCTCGGAAATAAATTATTTCTAAGATTATGATTTGCAGGCTCACAGTGACAGGGTAAAGAAACTTTCCTATTCTCGTTAAAATATGTTTAACTTTAAAATTCGGACTTTCCGCAACTTGAGGAAGTTTCTGGAAAGATAATAATTTGAATTTTTCTATTAATACCCTTTACAACTTTGTATTCAAACATTCTGAAGTGACGCACAATGGCTGTTCTTCATATTGTTTATCAAAAAAGAAGGCAACCAAAATGTTGTCGCATGAAATAATACAAACTAATTTCAATATAATATTTTGTTCATCCTGAAGAAAATGATAAAATTGAACTCAGTACTTTAAATGGTCATTTTTATCCTCTGTGGTTCCAGATCTCATCTCCTGTTTCAGTGATAAACAGTGACATCAGGTCTAAAAAGATTGCAGTGATCAGTGACATATGTGAATCTATGAAACAGCAGCTTTTGGTCTTGGTAGAGTGGGCTAAATATATCCCAGCTTTCTGTGAGTTACCACTGGATGACCAGGTTTGTAATATTTCTCATTAATCCAGTTTTATGTTGACTTTTTAGTCAGATTTTTAAAATTTGACAACTGAACAATGTTATGTTGGTGGCACTGACTTTTGCGTCAGTTTATAGATTATGAATCTTGACTTTCATCACCCAACGACTCATATTAGGTGGAACAGCATTAATACTCAACTTCACATAAGTCAAATAAAGATAAAATACTCCAGATGCTGGAAATCTGAAACCAACACAGAGAATGCTGGAGAAACTCAGCAGGTCTGCCAGCATCTGTGGAGAGAGGGGTTCTGAAGATGAGCCATACCAAACTTGAAACATTAACTCTGTTCCTCTTTCCACAGATGTTGTCAGACCTGCTGATTTCTCTGGTATTTTCTTTGCTTGTTCCACTTAAAGTCAAGTACCCTTAGCTTCAATTGAATTAGCTTTTGTTTTAACTTATGAATAATGGCAGAACTGTCTTTTCAACAACAAATGCAGAGTTGAACTGACAGAATAATTAATTCAAAGTTATATCTCAGGCTCTGTGCTATGTGTATATGGGTTCAGTCCAGACCATACTCACATAGAAAGAGAACTGAAAGATGTTTCAACTTCAGTAATACTGATGAAAACAATGAACACAGTAAGATGTGACCCACTGATGTAACAATTACACAATGGTGTAACAAGAAATGGAATCACCAATCAGATTGCCCAAAACAACAGGTAGAGGTGAATTTCCATGAGGGTTCTCCCACTAGTCTTTTCTAATGTTGACAGAAAGGCCAAAGCAATCCCATAACAGTATTTACATAATTTTCCAAGGCTCTTTCAATAAAAAGAGGTGCTGGAAAAGTCCCCAGGAAGCCCATATGTTTCTGATTTTCATTAATGCAGCATTTGACAGTACAGAGCAGAATCAGTCTTGTAGCGATAAAAGACAAATCTAAAGCCAAGTTGATCCCATATTATTCTTTCTGGCCTCCGATCAGACAGTTAAAGATAAGGATTAAAGATGCTTTGGGACATCCTATGGAGAGAGACATGATAAATATTTTGGAAGAATGTATGAGGGGGAAACAATATTATTGTATTGTAAAGGTGGGCTCATTTGAAATCAATGAAAAGTAAAATGGATAGAGTGTAAAGGACATAAGAAATATAAACAGGAGGAGGCCACTCAGCCCCTTGAGCCTGCTCCGCCATTTGATAGGATCATGGTTGATCTGATATTCCTCAGATTCACTTCCTATATTTTCTGCAGAACCCTTGATTCCCCCATTGATCAAGAAGCTATTTATCTTAGCCTTAAATATACATCAAGCAAACTTTCTGTGGCAAGGAGTTCCAAAGACTCACACACCTCTGAGTGAAAAAGCTCCTCCTAATTTCAGTCTTAAATTGGTTCCCCTTAATTCTGAGGCTAAGTTCTCTGGTCCTAGATTTTCTCATGAGGAGAAACATCCTCTCAATATTTATCCTGTCAAGGCCTCTAAAGAATCCTATATGTTTCAACAAGTTCACCTCTAAATTCCAATGAGTAGAGTCCCAAACTGTTTAGCCTTTGCTCACATCCATACAGGGGATCATCCTAGTGAACCTCCTTTGAACTGCCTCCAAAAAAAAATACATTTTCTTATATAAGAAGATCAAAACTGTTCACAGTATTCCAGATGTGGTCTCAGCAGCACCTTGTCCAGTTCCAGGAAGACTTCCATACTCATATATTCCAACTCCCTTCAAATTGGGGCCAACATTCCATTAGCCTTCCTGATTACCTGCTGCAGCTATGTACTAGCTTTCTCTGTTTCATGTACAAATAACACCCAAGTCTGTTTGCATTGTAGCTTATAACATTCTGTTCTTTTGTTCTCTTTTCCAAAGTGAACAACTTCATATTTTCCCGCATTATACCCCATTTGTGAACTTCCTACTCACTCACTTAACCTATCAATATCTCTCTGTGAACTGTATGTATCCCTCTTGCTAAACATTCTTTGAATTCCTATGGGCTCTCAAGGGCAACACGCCATCTAATTTTCTAACCAGCTGCACTGGCCTTCGAGGTCCATGCATGGTAGTGACTTCCAGAATCAGAAGTCATGCCACAATCAGTATGCTGACACCAATCGCCATGCATGAAACATCAGAATGACTGCGTGCACATACGGCTGTGAAGCACAGAGGGAACATTCTCAAGGGACCACATTTTTGCTATACAGCATTGCAAGCTGAAAGTGAGAAGAACATAAATTCTCCTTATCCATATAGTCATCCCATCACATAGATCCACCATTAGAATACAAAAGAGGGAACGTCCCAAAACCTGCAAAGTCCACCACAATCATCAAATAAGGTTACATGCCCCATAGCCAAGATACAGATTCATGTATTTTCAGGACCTCTATATATTCATTTTCCTACTGAAGCTAATTTCTATGTGAAAATTCATCACTGTAAAATCCCTACTATATCTTAACTAGTATACAGTTTCATCATTAGATGTTACGGCAACTGAATATATTCAAGGAGTTTTAAGAGCTTGAAAGTTATGACAAAGCTACAGTACATGCTTGATGGAAGTTGATGGAGTGTCCTAGTAATTTTGGGCTGGCACTGCTTGAGTTAGACCCCTTTCTTCCTTCTCTGTCATGCTTGTGAACCCGCTGAGTTCCTAAATTCGTTCATATGTTTGTGGGGTGATGTTAATAGCATGCTGAACTACTCCCTCACACTTATAGTTGGCTGCATAGTAACATTTGTAGAAGCTGATGCACTCAAAGTTCCCCAGGTCGGGAAATAGAATGGTTAGTGTGAACTGAGTTGAAGATTGGGTGAAATAGCCAGAAGGAAAGTTTACAACAATTCAATTGTAGCCTCAGGTAATACTAAATCTGTCATTTGTGATCTTAATAGAAAATTCACTGTGAAAGCAAAACTTTCCTCATTAACAATTTTTTCCTTCAAGTTAATGTTTAAGCTTTTTGTTGTTGTACATAACATTGTTTGCAGTTTAACATTAAACTTTATGCAAGTGTGAGAAACATTAACACTGGACAAATAAAGTATTAAGTCACTCATTGTTAAGCATATGATTTGTTGAGCACATCAGCACTTCTGTTCCAAAGAACTAGATAACTCCAGATTCCTAAAACTTTTTATTAACATTTTCAGAAAGTGCACCTGCTGGCTAGAAGGATCGTTTTGTCACACTTCCAACAATTCCACTCATGCATTAGACTTTATCCGATACTTTCAGGGTTTAGAAACACCTGGGGTTATGCCATTGTATTATACTTTCTACCTTTTCATCTGTTCTTTAAGCTTTTTTTTCTGTCTTGATCTTAGAGTTTATATCACAATTAACAAAAATATTAAAGTGCATCATCTGAACATCCATACACATGAACATGCATATAATGACATTCTCTTTCCTGTCACTTCCTCCTCTTAACTGATGAATAGCCTCATTCCCAAAATAACTCAATGATAAAAGTTTATTTTGCTTTTCCTACTCAGCATGTTCAGTTAAATATGTTATGCTGTAATTCATCTCTCCCCATCTGGCCCGGATCCAGCAAGTTCAGAGCTTGATCTAAACTAGAAGCAAAGCCTAGACAAAGATGATCATGTAACTTCAAAAGTTAGGTCTGAATTATTTACTGGAAAAGGAAATCAGCCTTTAACAAAAAAAAAATCTGAATAGAGATGATTAAAGTTGATTAGAGATGATTTCAACCATGTTAGATGTGCTGGAATGTGCAGTATTCTGCCCAGTTTGTAAATGATATGCCATTACTGCATTGTCAAACATTCCAACTTGACATGGAATGAAAAGGATACCTTAAAACAGGTGCTAAAAATGAAAAACCCATGCTGAGTGAACACAATGATTCTGTCACTGCATAAACATATTTCTGTATCAGCTCATTCCTCAATCAAAGAACAATTTGGAGCATTGATCAAACTGAGCCGGTCCTTTCGGTGGAGTGAACACTGGGAAGAAGCTCAAATTAGAACAGATTGTGCTGCAACAGATGCTTTATCTGTTCCCAAGAAACCAAATTGACAAAATTTCAGCACAGCTGTTCCAACAGCTAGCTCTTCAGAGAAAGAGAGAAAGAGATTTTAATTGGCTCACTTTTAATAGAACTTCAAATTGAATATAGACTGGCATTATTGGTAAAAGTTAGCAAAGTCTATGGATTCATCCCATGTCACCACACTAATTCATCATTGGAATAGATCTCAGTTGTAGCACTTTGTACTTCCATAGAAAGCTAAGCGTAGAATTCGAAAATGCAGCAGTCTTAGCCTGTTCTGCTGTTCAGTTAAAGTGTCCCTGATCCAGCTATGTGTCTTATTCCCTGCTAGCTTTAAACTTGAAAAGATTTATCAATCTGAGCCTTAAAAGTCTTTTGGGAAAAAAAGTTCTAGATTTCCGCTGCTATTTGTGTGAAAAGTGCTTTTTTGACGTCAGTCCAAATGGCCTAACTCTAACTTTAAAATGCCTAGATTAAAAACCTGGTGAGTCAAAGACCATAAAATAATTTAAAGAGAAATTAATCATAGATTATATGTGCATTCAGGAAGGCAATGAGATATTCAGCAGCAAGGTTCACAAATTTTTATAGTAATCAAAAATGCTGTTTAATAGGAATACAGAGTGATTAATTGCCATGTGCTTTACATGAATAGGTTGCCTTATTGCGAGCCCATGCTGGGGAGCATTTACTGCTTGGGGCAGCAAAACGTTCCATGATGTATAAAGATGTTCTGCTCTTAGGTAAAATCACTCATCTTGTTCACTTTGTGAGTTATTATATCTTTGAATTTCTCTTTAAACTAAAAAAAAGTCTGATCAAAATATTGGAAGAATATCCACAAAATCTATGCTATTTGCTTTTATCTCTAAAGGCAATGACTACATTATTCCCCGCAATTGCCCAGAGCTGGAAATAAACCGTGTAGCAACTAGAATTCTGGATGAACTGGTGCAAACATTTCAGGAGCTTCAGATCGATGATAATGAATATGCCTGCCTGAAAGCAGTTGTTTTCTTTGATCCAGGTGGGAAGCATGCTCATGAAAAATCATAATTCTGTCAGCGTGACAGTCCATTGCATGGATTAGCAACAACAAGGTGTTAAAAAAAATGTATCTGTAATGGACATTTGTAAAAAATATTTGGCTTTTCACAAATTGAGAGAAAGATACTGAGTGGCCCCAGACATAACTCTGCAACCTTAAAGCTGTTATCTTTCTTTATGTACTATGCAATTTGCAATGTAATATTGTGATGTGATGGCACTTAATAGTGCTTAGTGTTTCACATATTGGAAATGCAACTACATTTACATTTGTTATGATCCCAGCTGATGGTGATACTAGGTAAGTCAGATCCCAGAACGAAACCTGGCTTGATAGATCATAATTTTAATTTTTGCAGTTGGTTACCATGGAAATTAACCACAGAACGTATGCTCACAAGGCTAGCAATGTTCTTTACAAGTTTATTACACACATGAGAACAGAGAAAAGCTCTATATACACATAGACAGGAAAACAAAGTTTGAACCTTTTTTCCCAGCTACATCCTTAATAGATGCTCAATCCCAGTAAAGTTTCATTCCTACTTAACTCTTTAATTTCTTACTTAACTGACCTCTTCCAGGTTTGATGGCCTAGAGATTCTCTTCCAGTTCCAACCACCTAAACCACTTTACAGTTCAGCAGTTTAAAAATGTCTGCACAAAGTCTCACAGCTTGTAGACTCCACAACTAAAATCCTTCTGCTCGGATGAAACTGTTCTTCTGCTAGCATGCAGCTGAAATCTGACTCTTCTAAACTAAACTTAAACCAAACTAAGTGTCCTGTGATCATTTGTTCTTCTGTATGTCATAAATCCAGCAGTGTAGTTATTATATCAATTAACATCACAGGTGTCTGGCTATCCACTTACTACATTATATGCTTATGAATGTTATGTATTTAGCTCACTTTTCCAATGATTTTTTTGACCTCTAAAATAAAAGACCTTTACGGAACTGAAACCAAATCCATCTGCTTCTATTTTAAAAATCTAAATTCACAAATGTTAATAATTATGTACATAGTAACTGCTTTAATTACATACTGAAATGTTAATGATTTTAGTTCAGTTAATGCAATGTTATAAGTGATAATGCATGACTGATATCATGTAATTATCAAAATTAAAATGTTATAGTCATCAAATATAAAATATTGAAAACATTTTACTTAACAATTAATCTTAAGTATTCTTGAAAAAAAGATTGTTGAAGCTTTGGGACCATTTACAAAAAATTCAGAAGTAAAGGAAAACCAACATATTAACTTCCTTTCTGATGATACAGCTTCCAGGGCAATTGTCACCTGATCACATGGATTAGTATCCCTTTTATCCAAGAAAGTTACAATTGCTTTCTTTTCAGTTAATGCAGACTCTTAAAAGTCTTAAAAAGGCAATTACAGATTCCACACAACTACCAAATAAATTACAGCTTTCCCAAAGAAGTCTTAAAAGCCTTTTCCAAACATTGTCAAAGACAATTACAGAATCCATGCAACTACTAAATAAATTACAGGTTTTCCTTACTGTACTGCATCTGGGTCAAAGATCATCACACTATGTACTAAAGTCTCTCATCCCTATTAAACCATGTCTGCATTCTCTCCAACTTCTTCACGTCATTCCTAAAATGTGATGCCCGGAAATGGATAAAATGCTCCAGTTGAGACTGAAACAGAGGTTTAACTTTTATATTCCATGCCTTAATACATAAAGGCCAAGATCCTGTGTGTCTTATTTACTGCAATTTCACAACTAATTCTGCCATCTTCACTGCCTTGTGTATTTATACCCCAGTTTCCTAAGCTCCTGCACTCCCTTTAGAATTGTATCCTTTATTTACTTCACTTTTGTGAGTGGAGGGAGAACGGCAGAAAGTCAAAGGGGGGGGTATGAATGAATTGGGGTTTTCCCTCCATTGAAGACACCTTCAGAATTACTCTCACCACCATTGTCCAGGGTAGGTCCCCACTGCTAAAGCCATTGTGTGGGCTTTCACCAAGCATTAATTGAATACTTCAGGGCCAAGAGCCGTTGACCCCCAACATCCATCCCCTTATAATTTCAGAGAGTTCAGGAGTGGCTGACAGGAGTGACAGGAAGGCCATACATTCAGTTTAACATTTCACCACCTACCCCACCTTCAAACCCACCTGTGGTGCAGCATAAAATCCAGGCCACAATCATATTGTATTACTGCGAATATCTTGAAACAAATAAAATATGTTTGAATAAATGCCTATATTGAGGAAGATGCAAAAACGTTGTAAGTCAAGATAACATCTTCCTTTTATTTGTGAGTTCAAGACCAAAAGCCATAGTGGAATAATGCAATTTTAAAATGATGAATTAACATCTGTCCACAGATGCCAAAGGACTCAGTAACCCTGCCAAAATAAAACGCATGCGGTTCCAGGTGCAAGTCAGTTTGGAGGACTATATTAATGACAGACAGTATGATTCTCGGGGTCGATTTGGAGAGCTGCTACTATTGCTACCCACTCTACAGAGCATCACTTGGCAAATGATAGAGCAAATCCAGTTTGTTAAACTCTTTGGAATGGCTAAAATTGATAACCTTCTTCAAGAGATGCTTCTGGGAGGTAAGGAAAGTTTTAAATACAATAAATCATTGAGATTTACCCAGCAGTCTTGTGAAAAAACCCATGCCAAAGATTAAGACAAGTTTTAAATTGAAATAAAAGTAAAATATTGTGGATACTGGAAGTCTAAGATATAAACAGAAAATACAGGGAGTAATCATACTGGGCAATAGCAGTGGAGAGAAAAGCAGCTCTGTGACCTTTCAAATGAACTGGGAGGAGTTTTTTTTTTAATTATTCACTCATGGGATACTGCATTTATTATCCATCCCTAATTGCCCAGAAGATAGTTAAGAGACATTCACCCTGCTGTGGGCCTGGAGTTATATGTAGGCCAGATCATATAAAAAATAGCAAAATTCCTTTCCTAAAGGAAAATCGTGAACCAGATTGGTTTTTAGCAACAATTAACAGTGGTTATCTCATTACCCTTAGTCTATCTCTTTTACATTCTAGATTTGAGTTCAAATTTCACCATTGGTTATGGTGGGATTCAAACATACGTCCTCTGAACATTAGCCTGAGGTTCTGGATTCCTAGCCCAGTGACTTTACCACTAAACTATTCCCTTTGATGCATAAATAAAAGGAAAGAATAGGAAGAACAATAAAAGAGAAGGTAGGAGAGATTAAACAACCGAAGGTTTCGTGATACAAGTGGAAGTGGAGCAGTAAGGACAGAAATAAAGAAACAAAATCTGCGGCTGGGGAGGTGTGGATGGCAGGATGCTAAATAGTTACCATCTGAAAGCAAAGGATATAAGAGAGAAACAAATGAGACGAACCCAAACCAACCAAGAAAACCAAACCAAAATGGGAGCAGGGTTGACATTCTAATTTTTAAAAAAAAATTATCTTGAGTTCTAAAGATTTCAAACTGACCAGTCAAAAGGGGAGGTACTCTTTTGTGAGGTGTTGCTGAGCTTTGCAGCATCTCAATGACAGAAAAATCACAGTTAGATGAGGTTGAGAACCCAAGTGATAGGGAACTGGAAGGTCTGTGTTCCACAGCCACCCAAAGTAGGGTAACTTTCCATTTCTAATGTCAAAAGTGAGACATCACTGTTACCAGCCAGATTCAACCTGATATCTGAGGAGTTACAAATGGTACTGAAACAGTGCAGTCTTTCATGAACATTCCCACTCTGACCTCATAAATGGAGAGAATCCCATCGATAAAGCAACTGAAGGTGGTTGGACTTAGAGACTACACTGTCAATGCCCTGGGGCTGAGATGATTGGCCTCCACAATCCCACCTTTTGTTTTTGCTAACTATGACTCCAACAGTGGAGATTTTTCCCCATTTCCACAGACTTCAATTTTTCTTGGGCCTCTGGATGTCACACTGGATTAAATGCTACTTTGGTGTCAAGGGCAGTTATTCTCAACTCATCTCTGTAATTCAACTATTTTATTTATATTTGAAACAAGGCTATAATGAGATCTAGAACCATACTGCCTTACTAGAATGAAAAATTAGTATTTGCAAATGTATTAAATATGTAAGTGCTCCTTAACAGCACTGTCAATGACACCATCTATCATTTTGCCAATGATTCAGTGGTAATTTGTTAGATTGGACTTGTCCTTTTTTTTTGTACAATTTTCAACATTTCTAGATCGAGGTAACTGTACTTGAGAAATGTGACTAGTCTTGGCTCTCATTCTACAGCACAAATCTTTTAGTGCTACAGCCTGGGTATTTTAAAGGTTCACAGAATTTGGTGTATCAATTATCTTCAGCCATTTCTTAATGTCATGAGTAGTGAATGATATTGTCTGAAGACCAGCATCTATGATGCTGGAGACCCAAAGACACTGAGATTAATCTTTCACATGGTACTTCTAGCTCAAGATATTTGCAAATGCTTCAGCTGTGACTTTTGCACTGAAGTTTGGGCTCTATCATCATTGAGGATGTAGATATTTGTTGAGTTTTCTAATTGTTCACCAACATTCAGAACAAGATGAACAAGACTGCTGAGGTTTGATCTGATCTGTTGATATCACTTAACTCTGTGCATAACATGTTGCTCAGCCATTCAGTATGCAGGCCCATGTTATAGATTCAGCACATTGGCATTTCATTTCATACATGCTTTCTGCTGCTTCAGGAAAGCAGATACTTTGGAACAACATAACTTGCAAGTTCCCCATAGAGTCATACAATAACCTGAGTTCAAACTAGATACTTTTTCACTGCCACTGGATCGAACCCCTGGGACTCCCTTCCTCCCAGCATTGTAGGTGTACCTACGTCACAGGAACTGCAGCAGTCCAAAAAGTGGTTCACCATCACTTTCTCAAGTGTAATTAGGGATGGTCAACAAATGTTGAACTTGCCAGCATCTCCAAGAACCCATGAATTACTAAATAATATTGCAGGGATCAAATTGTGAGCAATATGTACAATATACGTATAGTGACTGGAACCAGGTGGATTTTATTGACTATGAGATCCTTGTTTGGGGTTGTTAACCTGAGCCAATCAGGAAGCCCGGGCTGGCAAGTATAAACAGGGGATTCAGAATGTCCTCGCTGCAGGGACTGATTCTGAGCTGGCTGACCACAGCCAGTGTACTGTGCACATGTAAATGAACGGTGGCTTGGTGACAGGATTTCAACACTAAACACACTATCCCCTAGAAAGAGTGCTTGTGACCTAGATAATGAGATGGGAAAAGGTAAAAGGTGGTGTATTGCATAACCTGCACTTGCAAGGAATGGTGTTGTAGGAAAGGGTGGGGTATGGTGGTCAATTTAAATTTCTACTCCTCTTTCAGTGAGATTCAACAGGTAATCTGGAGAAGTTCTACAGTTCAACCTCAGTATTTTTTTAACCATATTCTCAAATATCTTTTACATTTCAGGTACTGCAAATGAGGCGCCACACACACACCACTCACTACATCCTCATCTAGTCCAGGAGCACCTGGCAAGTAATGTGATAGTAGCCAGCACAATGCCTGCTCCAGTACAAAATGGGCAGATCTGTAAGTAATAAAAGTTGAAATTACAACTGGACAAACTGTAAAATCATTTTATATAGTTCAATTTTTATTTTTCATATGTTTCAGTATCAATTCTTCTCTAATTTATTTTTGAGATTTGTTGAAAACATTTCCAGCAAGAAACAATCATGACAGAGATCTTTGTATCCTCTTTAGCCACAGGCAAGGTCCAAAAGAAAGTGTTCCATAGGAATCAGTGCTGGGATCTCTGTTGTTTATAATTTATATAAATGATTTGGGCTGATACGTAGGTGGTCTGATTAGTACATTTACAGACAAGACAAAAACTAATGTAGTTGTAAATAGTGAGGATGTTTGTCAAAGGATACAGCAGGATATAGATCATTTCGAAAGTTGTGATGTGGAGGTGCCAGTGTTGGACGGGGATGGTCAAGGTCAGAAGTCACATGACACCAGGTTACAGTCCAACAGGTTTCTTTGAAATCACAAGCTTTCTAAGCACTGCCCCTTCGTTAGGTGAAGCTGCACCATCACTGTTATTAAGCACCACACTTTAACCAACTGAGCTAACTTGCCTGCAGTAATTACAGTTTTAGCAGGGCTACTGTTAGGCAGGCTCAGTTGTTAGCTTGTGATTTCAAATAAACCTGTTGGACTACAACCTGGTGTTGTGTGACTTCTGACTTTGGAAAGTTGGACAGAGAAATGGCAGATGGCATTTAATCCGGTCACAAGTTGATGCATTTTGCAAGGCCAAACGCAAGAGGAAAGTATACAGTAAATGGCAAACCCCTTAGGAGCATTAATGCACAGAAGGATCTTGAGATGCAAGTCCTTAGCTCCCTGGAAGTGGCGACACAAGTGGATAACATGGTAAAAAAGGTGTACAGGCATCCTTGTCTTCTTCAGTCGGGAGTGTATTAGCTGTAAGGCGAGGTTGGACAAATTTGAATTGTTTTCACTAGTGCATCAGAGATTGACGGGCAAAATTACTGAAATATATAAAATTATGAGATATAGATAGGATCATTAGTCAGTCTTTTTCCCAGGGTGGAAATGCCAAATATTAGGAGGGCATAGGTTTAATGTGAGAAGAGGAAATTTTAAAGGAGATTGTGAGACAGAGGGTGGTAGATACCTGGAATGCGCAATGGAGGTGGTACAAGCAGATTCGATAGCAACATTTGAAAGGCATTTAGACAGACAGATGAACAGGCAGGGAGCAGAGGGATATGGACCATGTGCAGGCAGATGGGATTAGTTTAGAATGGCATCACGGCTGGCACAGACATTGTGGGCTGAAGGGCCTGTTCCTGTGCTGTACTAGTCTATGTTCAATGATCAATAGCTTGTCCCTATGCTAATATTAATCTATAAGTAACCATTGCAAGATGTAAAGGAAATGCCAGCTAATTCAGATAATTATTTCCTGTCACTGTTAAAAGCACCCTACCCTGTCCTTGCTTAGCCTGTCTAACAATTGCCCTGCTAAAACTGTAATTACTGCAAGCAAGTTAGCTTAGTTGATTAACGTGTGGTGCTTAATAACAATGATAGTGCAGCTTCAATCATCATTCTGGTTGATTTAATTACTGCAGCATGTCTCTTCTGCTTACTCCATCGTGATAGTACAGCGCAGCTGAGTCGATATTAGCAACATTTGAGAACAAGAATGCTACATGAGGGAGAAAAAGAAAGAGAGAGAGAGAGAAAGAGAGCGCAATTATCACAAAGTTGGCAATTATTCCCTGAACTGTGGCTAGGCCTCCTGTGGGGACCTAGGTTCAAATCCTGCCACGGTAGTTGGTAGAATTTGAATCCAGGTAAAAATGTGGAATGAAGAGTGTAATGATGACCATGAATCCAACACCAATTGTCAGCAAAGCCCATGTGGTTCACTAATATCATTTAGGGAAGGAAACTACCATTCTTATCCGGTCTGGCCTACGTTATGGAGTCCAGAGTCAATGTTTAGGGCTCCCAAGGCAACACTTTCCTGACTGTATACACCTATAGTTCCACCTCTGGTGGATTTATCCTATAAGTGTCTGGGATATTGTAACGTATGGTTCTACAGGTATGAAAGTGTTGAGCAGTTGCTTGACTAGTCTGTGGGACAACTGTTCCCCTCTTCCCACAAGGCTGTAGCTTTAATAAGGAGGACTTTGCAGGGTTAACAGATCTCAATTTGCAGTTGTTGTTTCTAATACTTTGATCCATGCTGGTGATCCATCTGGTCCATTTCATTCCTTTTAATGGACTTTGTAGTGGTTAGATACAACTAAGTGGTTTGCTAGTCTATTTCAATGGGCAGTCAAGAGTCAACTACCTCACTGTAGATCTAGAATCACATGTAGGCCAGACTGAATAAAGATGGCAGATGTTCTTGTCTGAAAAGCATTAGTAAATGAAATAAGTTTTATTGAAGAACAATTGACAATATTTACATAGCTACCAGTAGACTAGCTTTTAATTCCATATTTATTAATTGAATTCAAACTTTATCTCTGCTATAGCGGCATTTGAACCCAGAGCATTTGTCTGATCTTCTGAGTTACTAATCTAGTAACAATACCATTACACCACTGCCTGCTTCAGGACTCCCTATCATAGGACTCAATCCTTGCTGGCCTTGGAAAATGTGGATAAGAGGTTTAATGTTAAGTCTTTTTAACAAACTCATACTGAGGATACAGTAGGAATGTGCCATAAGGACAATTGCTCTGATGTGTTTAACAGGGTTCAGAATGGTTTATTACTTATCATTACTGTGACCTAACAGCTTTTTTTTTCTATATATTTCTTTCATTTGTGTTATTCTTGAAGTTGTCTTAAAAGAATTACTGACTTTTTTTTGTTCATTTTATATATGTACCGCAGCCACACCTGAAACTCCATTACCTTCTCCACCTGGAGGTTCTACATCAGAGCCATACAAACTAGTAGCAGGTTCTGTATCAAAACCACCAACATCAGTTCCTCAGCAAACCATTCCAAAACAAGAGGCAATTTAACAGATGGGAAGCATCTCAGAGCAAAAGTCATCAATAAATAGCTCAACAGATTTTCCACCGCTAGAGAACTGTTTTATGAGAACACAGTCCTAATAAGAACTAATAAGAACTGTGTCCCATTTTAAAAGATGACACAGATGAAATCATAGATAATTAAAAGATTAATGTTAATATATGTTGAACTGACTGTCATTGTAATACCATACTCTTAGGTTTCCAAGAGACTGCTTTTCACTATAGAAAATTGGATTAACTCATTTAGTAAGTTCAAATTCAGGATATATCATGATAGTCATTTCCTTCAACTTAATAGTTGATTTTAACTCTGGTTGCCTGGTGGTTATTGCAGAGGAAGAGGATTACAAGGGTGAAGTTTAAGACAGTAGAGGGCTCATAGTATGTCTGGATGCTCCCTATTCAGATTTTAACTCATCTGAGACACTGAAGAGCATCAGATAGCACATGGCCAGTGAGGTAATCAACATCACAACACCAATTTAACTGAAAGATTTAAGAGCCAACTATGAGATTTGGTGGGAATCAATGAAAAGGCCAAATTAAGTTTTCAATTTGAGCTTTTTTGAACATTACTAATGAGTTCCCAAGTTTTACTCGAAGTTATTGTGCCTTCTCTTTTAGGCTTTGTCTCTCTCTTTCAGTGCCATATCCTATGAAACCATCCCACAACAATATAACCTCAGAAATGACCCCTTTGTATCCTCAGTTTGTCTTGCCCCCGGCTTCCAGCCCTGATGTCAGTCACGTCCAGTAGACGGTAATGCAATATTCAAAAGAGGTCCAGTTGTTTAAACAACCTGAATTTCACGCTGAAGTCATCATGATGGCCTCACACCCACTCTACATCCTATCCACCACAGCATTCCCCAAGTTAAAAACAGGTTTTCCTAGTGAATTTATACAAATAAAATGTATGCATTCATCTCACTTAAGTAATGTTCAGTATCTGACATATAGTCAGAATGCACAACCGACTGTGAATTAGATTTTGACATGAACTCAGGATTAATTTGCAATATTTTGACTCTGAGTACAATGATTCTCAGTGCGATTTTCAACGCGCACCTACTTTGAGCAGACCTATCTTTTGAACTATAAGTAATTTTAATATTTATGAATTGGTAGTATTTCGACTTTTCTATAAATTCAGTTACAATGTCCTTCCTTTCATTTAGTATTAGCAAACTTTTGTGTAACATATTTTTAAATTCTCTTTTATACCATTTCAATTTAAGTAGATGTACATATGAGAGAAAAAAGATTTTATATGTTTAAAATGTTTAGTCTACTTAAAAGATTTGCTCTCCTTGCTACAAATATAAAGTAGTAACATTTGCTGATCCCGTAATTTCATCTAATGGTCTGAAAGTAAATTATAGTTCTTCTTCAGTGTACAAACACAAACAAGTATACGTACCATACACATTAAATGTCAAATGTTTTAAAACAGCCATACTTACTTGGACTGCCACATGTGGATCCTATACCAAGATAGGATGTCTTGCTTTCAAATGCCACTTACCCCCACATAGCAGCAACAATGTATCACTTCATTTAATCTAGACAAACACAGAAATCACACGTGAATTAAGAGGAGCCAGGACTAATCAACTGCTAACTGATGTCTTGTACATCACAATGGAAAGTATTTATCAAAAGTACTTTTTATAAAAATGAGGCTTAGGACATCCTGAAGTTGTGAAATATGCGATATAATTGCACGTATTTTTATTTTTTGTATACTTTTGGAAGGCTATATATGAGGACTCTCCGATCTGTCCCTCTTTCCTTCAGCAGGCAATAAGAGAACCTCAGAAATACAGTGTAAATGGGATTTTGGGCAGGCTTACAAACCTGTCTTTTTAAGGTAGCTACAATTTTTTTTGCAGTACAAACTATTAACATGTGGGTTTTGCAAGTTATCATCATGACACCAATTGCATTAAGGCCTTAATAAATGCAAGTAGATTAATAGGAGCAAAAATATACCTTTTGAAGAACATGAAAAACAATAGTGTTATACTTTCTTCTCCACCAGGCTTGTTATTTGGACCCACACAGGCTTAGGATGAGTAACTATTTATGGACCTTTTTACCAATTTTTCAGTCTTCTGCAAATTTCCCAATTATGCCTCCCACACTCAAATCTAAATCATTAATTCTTACCATAAACAGCAAAGTGTGCCCTATGGAACACTGCTAGAAACTACTTTCCATTCACAAAAGCATTCATCAACCACTATCCTTTGGTTCCTATCACGGAACCAATTTTGGATCAAACTCATCACATTTCCGTGTGCCCCATGGGCTTTAATTTTTTCTGACTGTACTTTGTAGGCCCTTGCCAAATGCCACATTAAAATCCATACATTCAGTGCCCATTGCACTCCCTCATCAATCTTCCTTATTACTTCTTCAAAAAATTAAATTCAGTCAGTAAGACATGACCTTCCCTTAACAAAACCATGCTGACTGTCACTGATTAGAATGCACTACCTCAAGAATATTTTGTTTATTACAGAGACCATGCCATCAAATGATAATTCAGGTTGATTTTTTTTGTATAAATGTGAGCAGATTTGCTCTTTTCAGGAATCTACATTTGTTTAAAGTGAAAAACATCACTTACAAAATATTAAAATGGGCTGATGAAAATGCTGGCAAAATGTAATTTTTGTATAATTTTTGCTTTATCAGTCAATGGAATTACAAATAAGCCCAAATATTGTTATTCTACTTGCTGAAAGCAAAGATTACTTTTTGACATTACAGCTAGATTATGCTTTGAATTTCTTAAGGCCTATTAGCAGAATATTTTTGTTTTAAAAACATATTTATTATGTGCCATTTTATTTAAACCAAGATGATTCTTCCTTTGTATAAAAATGCCTCTACTGTGCATTACTTCAGTCTCTACTTTCCTTATTGTGAAATAATTCTGGGGTAATATTTGGTCTATTTAATATACAGGGTTTTAATAGCACTGTGGCAAAATCTTTACTGCATTGTAAAGAGTATATTTAAAAGACACCGGTTATAATGGAATAATGAATATGGTGTTTAAAATATCCTTGATTGAATATGTTACCACATATCGATTCTTTTATTATTCTATGCATATTTTAAACAATTTATTGGTTGAATGCTTGTGATGTAATCTAATTGGTTTTATCCATTAAATACAGTACACAAGATCTCACTACATTGCAAGTTGCCCATTGATGCTGTAGTATGCAAAAGCATGAACACCCTAAAAGATACTGGCCTGATTTCATACTTGGTGTGGCAAAGGCACAGTCTAGTTACCAGGTCTGTAAATATAGATTTGGTACAGGAATGACTGAATGGCCTGAAGCTTATTGCTGGCTTGTACACTCAAGGTCAATTGTCTAACAGAGTCTGAAAATATAATTTCAATATTTAGATTCCTGTCCCTCTGACATTTAATTTGAAAATCACAAACGAAAAGACTGGTAGAGCTTCAAACCAAAAATTCTACCAGCTGCCTTACACCCTAGAAGGACAGCTGGCTTGTCATGTAGAATAACACGAACAGCATGGGTTCAAGACAACAAGGTGCAGGGCTGGATGAACACAGCAGGCCAAGCAGCATCATAGGAGCAGAGAGGCTGACGTTTCGGGCCTAGACCCTTCATCAGAAAAGGGGGAGGGGAAGGGGGTTTTGAAATAAATAGGGAGAGAGTGGGAGGCGGATAGAAGAGGGATAGAGGAGAGGATAGGTGGAGAGGAAACAAACAGGTCGAAGAGGCGGGGATGGAGCCAGTAAAGGTGAGTGTAGGTAGGGAGTTAGGAACGGGATAGGTCAGTCCAGGCAGGATGGACAGGTCAAAGGGGCGGGATGAGGTTGGTCGGTAGGAGATGGAGGTGCGGCTTGAGGAGGAAGGAGGGTATAGGTGGGAGGAAGAACAGGTTAGGGAGGCAGGGACGAGCTGGACTGGTGCCTGCTACTGGCTGAGGTTATCATGAAGGACGCTCCTTCTCAACTTCTCCCCTTGTCTGAAGTGTGGTGACCTTCAGAGCAAGTCACCACCAGTAATCTCTCTTCCGAATGAGAGAGCAGCTCTATGATGTGGTAAAACTATGGTGGCTTTACCTTTTACTCTGACTCCACTATGATAATCATTGCCTGTTTGAGTGCTAATGGTCTCAGAATGGCTGATTTTGCTAATATGTGCCACTCAACAACATCTTGAGAACTGTTTGAACATCCTGTGTTTCAGTGTATTAAGTAGAAATAGTCCCTTACAGATTAATGTCTGATAATGCCAGTTAGTTAACACATGGCCAAAATTCACAAGCCAAAAAATCATGGTAAAGTTAACATATAAACTAAACAACACATCGTCAACCATAGCTTTCTGAAAAATTAACATGATTTTATGTTATCCCAGGTGCAGGTTACTATCTCAAGCCTCGAAATGATCTTTCTGGTTGGCAGCAATTCTCTATACCCTAGTATAAACATAGAATTTGAATATGTATGTTAATTTACAAAATACAGCATTCTTTGTCTTCTGATGTGTTGTACTTTAAATTTAGTAAAAAAAAATTTCTTATACATCTTGTCTGATGATAATGATATGCATATTCATACAAACCACAGTTCAGTTGTCAAAGGGTTGATATCCCACTAAGTATAGTGATTAAGCAGATATTGACAAGGAGTCTGATTTTTATCTGCTTGTAGCAAAAGTGCCTATGATAAAGCATTAATAGATTTGTAACTGTAGATTTTGCACTTCACATATTGAACTATTTTAGTGCTTATAGCGTCAGGGTGTGGTTCTAGTGCTCAAAACTGCCTGAAGTTCTGAAGAGAAAATAATTCTTCTTCTACCTGCAGCCAGGTAGCATTAAAGTGTACATAGAACAAATAATGACATTTACTCTAATTAATTTATTGTAATATGGATGTAATTTTTCATGGAACTCTGACATTATTTTTGTAAATCATTTCACTGATTAATCGTAATTAAGATAATAACATAATTTGTTAGCACAACTGTACATTGCATTTTTTATAATTTTTGTCCTTGCAATTTTCACTGTATAAGGTATTTCTATATTGATATTTCATTGCAATGAATACAGTTCCCTTAAGTCTCTAATGTACACTGCCACAGTCCTGAATACTGTAGTTATTAATGTATTGTTGTCATTCCTTTAAACCATGTAAAA